CAAGAAGAGATTCCCCACCAATAGGAACCGAAACTGGCAAGGAAGCTATAGCACTTAAAAGATCAAAGATGAACCGAAAGCTGAAGAAGCAAAGAAGGAACAGAAGGCTGAAGGAGACTCTGGAGTGAGCTGCTATTATTGTGGAGGAAAGAACCACTATGCAAAAGATTGCGTCCTCAAAAAGATGGCAGAAAAGAATGAAGAAAATGATGAAGAAGCTGTGTTGATGAAAAAGCTTGATGAGTTAAGGAAGAAGAAATCTGCTGCTAACCTTTCCATGAATGCTTTAATTGTGCAGGGTTCGGTAGCTGATGATGAGTTCGGTGGCGTGGAGGTTTGGTCAACCGACTCTGAAGATGATGAAGTGAGGAAGCCTTCACATGGAAAGGCCTATGTAGCGAAAGAAGAGAGTAGTGGAGGAAAATGCTTGATGGTGTCCGACGTTTCTTAGATGAGAGGATACAACACTGATGGTGGGAATGATGACAAAGAACAGCAGAATCTGTGCTTTACTGCCAAACCACTCAGCGAGCAGTTCAGCGAACTTGATGAATTGATCAAGAAGGTACAATCCGTTTTTGTCTCATTTAAAGTCCCACAATGCTCATATGAAAAGGAATTAAAAAGTGTTAATTCAAGAATCTCTCATCTAGATAGTAGTTTAACTCAAACTCGGGTCACCAACTCTAACCTAACTGATCAATTAAGTAGGGTGTCTTCGAAGAGTGAGGAACGGCGGATGTGGATCGAACTGAAGGAGTCAGAGTTAATCAAAATAAAAGATGAAAACATTTATTTGCAAAGAGACAATTTAAAGCTTTTGAAACAGGGAAATGTTTTTTGTCTGATTGCCAAACGTCTTTATACAAATATTACTCAGCTTCATTTAAATTGTGAAATAGGGCAAAAGATTCATCGCATGATTTTACCCTTTCTTGAGTTTAAGGAAGATGAAATTGATGCTGATGCATATAATTGTGAGAGTATTATTTCGTCTGAGGATGTTAATCCAACATATTTATATGGACTGGACAAAATTGAATCTTTCATAAAATCCAAGGACCACAAGAATATGCTCAAAAATCTTTTGGATGAAAATGATAAACTGAAGCTTAGAACCGAAACTATACAAAAATTTGACTCACTGAATGTCAACTTAAGCTCGGAAAATAAAATTGATGTTGAAAATGCATCTGAGCTTAATGAGGACGATAACATGAGTGAAATTTCTGTAGAGGACACAGTTGATTGCTCAGAATTTGTCAAAAATGAACCCGAGAATCACAAAAATCTCATCTCAGAAAATTCTGTGGAATTCGCTCGGTTGTCCCAACAAAAGTCCCCGATTCTTGTAGAGAAGGCAGTTGTATACCAAAAAGTTAGGACTACTCCGAATCAGGTATACAAAGTCACAGGTGTAACCGAACATCAGACTGCTGAACTAACAGCTATTGTGAAAGAAGACAATGCTGATGGCTGTGATGAGTTCTTCTGGTCGGCTCCCATTGACAATGCTGATGAAACGGTAGGTCTGTCTGAAAGGACTTCATGGAAAAGCAAAGGCAGATACATTCCAGAACCTTTAAATAAACCTGATTGCTTCAACGTGGCAAGTACCAGTGGAACAAAAGATGTCCCTCAAGAGAAAGAAATTCCTACAAAAGAAATCACATCTCCAAGCAAAACAACATCAGTTAAGAGTGGATCAACCAATGAAAATCAAAAACATAAAGCTAACGTCCATCATCAACCAAAGCAGATGAGAAGTCAAAAACGGGAAAGGAATCAGAGATACAGGAAAAATCTCTCAGAAAGAAAATAGTTTTGGCAATCGCAAAATGCCTATTTCTCACATCAAGACAGGAATTTAAAACCAGCAAAAAATCCTGTTGGATCGACGGAGAGAAACGACAACCGAACGCAGAGTCTCGGTTCTGAGCGGAACAACAACCGAAAGCAGAGGTTCGGTTCTGAGCAGAACAATAACCGAAAGCAGAATTTCAGTTCATAGCAGATCAACAACCGAAAGCAAAGGTTCGGTTATGAGCAGAACAATAATCGAAAGCAGAAGTTCGGTTCATAGCATAATGACAACCAAAAGCAGAGGTTTGGCTCGGAACACAACAACAACCGAACGTACAGATTCGGCTCAGAGAATGATTTCAACCAAAAGCACAGGTTCGGTTCAGGAATTAAAAGAGGTCAAAACTCTAAAGTTGGTCCTTCCGTTAATCAAAAGCAAAAGAGTCACCCAGAATCTTCAATCAAGAAGTCATACCGTTCTAAGTCATCTCATTCTAACTCTTCTAACTCCTCAAAATCCTCTGTCTCTTCTCGTCCTAAAGTCCACTCTGTTTCTTCTCAAAAATCTCAGTCATCAGCTGATCAAAAAGGAAAACAGAAGGTTTCAGATACTGAATCAAAATCAATACCAAAACCATTAAATCCAAATAAAATCAAAGTTTTCACCATCAAAAGAAAAGATGATACAACACTAATAAAAAGAACATATGTTGTTGACATCTCTCTTACTATTCCCGTAAACAACTCACGAGGACCCAAAAAGCTCTGGGTTCCTAAATCTGCTTAATTTTTGCAGGTTATCAGTGACGAGCAGTATGACGAAGAATGGTACATTGATAGTGGCTGCTCGCGTCACATGACAGGGAGGAAGGAAGAACTAAGGGAATTCAGATCTCTTTCAAATGGTGGAAATGTCAAATTTGGGAACAATTCCTTCGGAACAATCAAAGGCTACGGGATGATTACAAACGGTGATTTCTCAATCAGGAAACTTGCATATGTAGAGGGACTACAACACAATCTCATCAGTGTATCTCAGCTTGTTGGAGGTACTGGTCTCAAAGTCTCATTCGATGATGAAGGTTCGGAAATTATTGACAAGAAGACGAACAAAGTTATTCTCCAATCAGAGCGTAAAGGTGAAATGTTTCCCCTAAATCTCAAACCAATCAAAGGAAACCCAACCATCTGTCTGTTATCCAAAGCACCATCTGACGAAAGCTGGCTGTGGCACAGAAGACTCTCTCATCTCAACTTCAAAGATATCAACAAACTTGTCACTGGAGGTCGTGTGAGGGGTCTCCCATTGCTCAAGTATGACAGAGATCATCTGTGTGCTACATGTGAAATGAGGAAGCAGAGTCGTCAAAGTCATCCATCCATAATAAACACTAAAGTCGTTGAACCACTGGAATTACTTCATATTGATTTATGTGGTCCATCTTCTATAGAAAGCATCGGTGGTAGCAAGTATATTCTTGTTATTGTTGATGACTTTTCACGTTTTACATGGGTGTTCTTTCTGAAGCTTAAATCTGAAGCGACTCACAAGCTAAAAGTGTTCATAAGGAGATTGAAGTACAGCTGAAGAAGGTCGTTCGCAACATCAGAAGTGACAATGGGTTGGAGTTCAAAAATAAAGAATTTGAAGAATTCCTGGAAGAATAGTGGATCAGTCACAACTTCTCAGCTCCCTACACACCTCAACAGAACGGAATTGTCGAAAGACGAAACCGATCCTTATGTGAAGTTGCCCGAACAATGCTAAGTTTTGCTTCCTTACCTTTATATTTTTGGGCTGATGCTATTTCTGCTGCTTGTTTTACACAGAACAGGTCGTATCTTAACAAACGATTCACTCTCACTCCTTATGAGATCATCAACAACAGGAAGCCAAATGTGAAGTTTTTCCATGTGTTCGGTTCCAGATGCTTCATTTTCAATTCGAAAGAACACCGCAACAAGTTTGATGTCAAAGCTGACGAAGGGATATTTCTGGGTTATTCTCTTACTTCCAAAGCATACAGAGTGTTAAACAAGCGTTCAAGGAAGATCGAAGAAACTTACTACGTGACTTTTGATGATAGCTATGTTAAGAAGCTAAAGGCCAACGAAGACACAGCTGGAGAAATCTTTCCACAAACTGGCCAAGTCACAGCCTCGATCGCTAATCTATTCGAGAAATTCATGGAGCTTTTTGATGAACCAGAGAAGGCCACTCTTTCTGAAGCCAGTGCAACAGACAACAGGGTAGATCACTTGAAGCAACTTATTGACGATGCTGCAAGAAGAATGAATGAAGAAGAATCGAGTTCACAAGACCCTCCCCAACACAATGTGTCAGTAGAGGGAGGATCCACCTTCATCCCAGCCAAGTTCACAAGTTGAGGGGGAGCTAAGGTCTCAACCTTCAACGAGAGCGTCTCACCAACCGAGAGTGTCTCACCAACCGAGAGTGCTTCACCAACATCTCCAACCGAGAGTGTCTCACCAACCGAGAGTGCCTCACCAACCGAAAATGCCCCACCAACCGTAGGTACATCAACACCCGAAAGATCATCACCTCAGGAAACCACTATAGCTCAAGATTCACAGGACATTCCTGAAAGATCACATGTCGAGGGGGAGCATGCTGATATGTCATACGACTTCGACAGTCTGTCCGAACCAGAAGAAATGATAAATGCTGAATTGGATCCATCCTTTGATCCAAACTTCCCTCCTCTCACCAAATGGACCAGAAATCATCCTATCTCTCAAGTTGTCGGTAATATCTCAGAAACAGTTCTGACTCGGTCACAACTCAAGGCAAAACAAGCATCCTTGTACTCAAAAGTCGAATTCTGCATGTTTAACTCATTCGTATCCAAAGTTGAACCAAAGACAGTTAAAACTGCTCTTGATCACTCTGATTGGGTTCAAGCATGCAAGACGAACTGAATGAATTTGAAAGGAACAAGGTCTGGCGTCTTATTCCAACTCCTCCACAAGCCTCGGTTGTTGGTCTCAAATGGGTCTTTAGGAACAAACTTGACAAGGAAGGGAACGTTATCAGAAACAAAGCTCGTCTGGTCGTCAAAGGATACTGTCAGGAGGAAGGCATTGACTATGAAGAGACTTTCGCTCCGGTAGCTAGGCTGGAATCAGTGAGAATATTTCTTGCTTATGCTGCTCACAAAAACTTTGAGGTCTTTCAAATGGATGTCAAGTGTGCCTTTCTCAATGGAGATCTCGAAGAGACTGTGTATGTGGAGCACCTCCTGGATTCTTAATGAAAAGTATCCCGATCACTGTTACATTTTGGATAAAGCCGTGTATGGTCTGAAACAAGCACCGAGGGCCTGGTATGAAACGCTGACTAAATTCTTAAAGATGTCCAAATTCAAACAAGGTTCGGTTGACCCAACCTTCTTTCGCAAAAAGGAAGGTAACCACCTTATGATCGTTCAAATTTACGTCGATGATATCATCTTTGGCTCCACGAATCCTAGCCTAACAGCTGAATTCAGAAAGCTGATGGAGACTAAATTTGAAATGAGCTCGATGGGTCCCATTAACTTTTTCTTGGTTTAAATATCAGACAGGGACCTGAAGGCATCTTTATCAACCAGGAAGCTTACACAAA